ATTAATGAAACAACACTAGAATATTAACAACAAAAATATCCTATGAATTTGTAAATCCTTCGCCCATTTTGTTTTTGGTTGTCAAATTTCATTGTCTTCTAATTGGGTAGGCAAAAATATCTTAACGTACAGCCACTGTGTAATCTACTTTTTTTTACAAATTTGTGATATTTTATAAACATTAAGCATTTTATGTAAAGGAATTTTCAAAGCTTTTAAAAACTGACTTTTAAACAGTCTTTAATGTACAAAATTTTGGGGACTAACAGTCTCATACTGCCATCTATCGTGGATAATTCGAAATACACTATTATATGTCTTGCATCGTTTAGGGGAACATTGCTGCATAGTGAAATTAGTTCATTGGTTCGAGTTTTATGATGTAACATTAGATGGCGCTTCTTACACTTAAAAAGCATTATATTCCCAGCAGTATCAAATACCTTTGCTTAAACCAACAATCGACTAGAATTCAAAGAAATAAATACTTCACTCTCACGGATATTATTGAAAAATACAGGCCAAGTGCGAACTGGAGGCATGCCCGAAGAATGTCGTACTATCAACCATAAAAACAACAACAACAAAATCATTGTTTTGATATGAGGGTCCCCTTCAATATTTATTTTATTTCGTTTCTTCAGTATTTGTTGTTATAAAACAACAAATAAATAAATAAATCATCTGTCAAAATTTCAAACTAACTATCACGGTTCATGTGATACAGCCTGGACACTTACGGACGGACAGACAGACGTATGGATAGCGGAGTCTTAGTAAACGGGGCCCAATTTACTCTTTAAGGGCGGGACTCTAAAAAAGTTATTAAAAAGTGTTGCTTGCAAGATTGCATATTTTGTAAATCAAAGCTCCGTAATTTTTTTATAAGATATTAAACTTTATTTTTATTAGATTATAGATTATTAATGAATAAAAATTCAGCCTCTGATAGGGTTAAATAGGGTTATGAAATACATGTAATTTGCACAGTCGTAATCGCAAGCAGCAATATAAAATTCTTTAGTAAACAAGGGATAAGCTTACCAATTTTTCTTTGTCAATAAGTACTATTTAATAAAGAAAATTAATCAAGGTTTCATTTTTATTGTATCATTTCGGAAGTCATACAACTTTGCCACATTGAAATTTCTAGACGCACACAGTGCATCGTATTGATCGTATACTAGCTTTGAGCCTATAAAGGAGACTGCAAAAATGCAAACTAGTAAAAGAGCACAGATTGTAGGGCACAGTATTGCGCCCAATTTGTTAGCGCGTCGGTGTGAGTGTACTGAGCCCAGTTCGGAGTCTGTACTGCTGTGATGATCAGACTCTCTTGTCATAGCTGTAATTAATAGAAACAACTAAGTTAATCTTAAAGCGTAGCTCGGTGGTGTAGTGGATAAGGCGTAGCTCGGTGGAGTAGTAGATAAGCGCCGCGGCCCGCGATCCGCGAAATTTTGTTGTTAAGCAACTTTTGAATGGTCGGTCACAGGATGGGTGAATTAGTGTGAATTTTGATATTTTGCGAGTGTTATATGAGTAGGGGAGTCCTAGGAGAGTTGTGACAATTTTTACATAAGGGGCTCTATCTCGCTTAAGAAACATTCCACAGTTATGACTCATATGAATTAGTTTAGCGCCATTCCTTCTGTTTTCAAAACCATCACTAAAATTAATTAAAGTATAATAGTTTCTGAAAAAAATAACAAAATTCAAGTCCACTCCCCTTGTCACAACTCTCCTACCACCGAGGTAAGTTGTGACATCATTGTATTTAAGCTATAAGATATAAAAATACCATTCCATACGACATAAATAAATCAAGCACGTTTTTTTATCAAATCAGTACTTTAATCAGTACTATAATAATAAATTTGACTTGGAAAACACACACTGAACATGTTTGCAAAAAGTTGTCCCAGTATTCTTGTGCACTGTACAAACTTAGTAGGATCGCGAATCAGTGCACGGTCCTTACAGCTTATCACGCGTACGTAGTTTCAACTGTTCGATACGGCATTATATTTTGGGGATATTCGACTGATTCTGTAACTGCCTTTAGAGCCCAGAAAAAATGTGTTAGGAGCATATGTCATTTACAGAGTACGGATACCTGTAGGCCATATTTTATTAAACTAAATATTATGACCCTGCCATCAATCTATATATTCGAAGTTAGTATTTTTGTCAAACAGAATCAACTACTATTTGAAAATAAGACGAGATTGCGTCATCAAGACAAATTGTGTACGATATCCTCTAAGACAGCTCTGTTGAACAAAAGTATCTTTTGTATGGCTCCAAAAATTTGGTGCGAAATTGACCAATTACAACGCGTGAAAGCAAACGGAACAAAAACGAGCTGTGCATTTTAAGCGTTGTCATTGGTCAATTTCGCACCGCTCCGCTCCGCCTCAATGGAAACGCAGTCTTATCATGTCCCCACCGAGGGGTTCGAGCCTACCCTGATCAGGGTGATTGGGCCATAGTCCACCACGCGGGCCCAGTGCGTATTGGCAGACATTAACGACTGCTACACTGTAGGTAGCAGCCGGGACCTACGGCTTAACGTGCCCTCCGAAGCTTATCATCTTACTTTTGGACAATCAGATGATTCAGGCCTGCAATGTCCTAACCAAACTAAGAAAAACTCGCAAAGAAATATTTGAGAGTGTCCCCACCGGGAATCGAACCCAGTACCTTCGGATCGAGAGCCTAACGCTCTAACCACTAGGACACGGAGGCAGTTAATTTAATTAGTTAGTTTACTCTAAATACCCATTCATTATTTTTGTAAGGAATGCGCCCATTTTGCGCCAGTCATTATTGTTATTTTTATATGCTTCACAAAATTAGATTAGTTGCTTCCCTCTAAGTGCTGTTCAAAATTGTATTAAACATACGTCACTCATTGCAGCTTATATGATTATTATGCTAATAAAAAATAATTACAGCCGTCCAGAATGTAAAAAATTGTCGATTGATTTGATATTGTTTGCTAGCCATCTAAAAAATTACTATCACGAGATACTCTGCGCTTCAGAAGGCACGTTAAGCCGTTGGTAATATCCTCCAATCCACATTGGGCTAGAGTGGAGGGTCATGGCCTATTCCCCTTAACAATCCATAAGGAAAACCTGAGCCCTTGCAGTAGGGACGTAAAATCTGTTCTTATTTTGCTACATTAATGTCGTTAACTGACAAACTATTTTTGTATCAGAAATATTACTTCATTATTATTTACGTAAATCATTGACTTGCCTTTTATGTCTGTACTTTTTGTCTAATATAGTTATATCTTTAAACAGACGTCATAGTGTATAAATTCGCTATGGATATCATTTAGACATCACAACAAAATCATACTTACAAACGAATCAAAGAGTATAGTAAGAGTTAAAGAGTTTTTGCAATTTGTAATTTGGGTTGAGATGTAAGGTGGGTGGACCATGGAAGGCCATGTTCCTTCGAAGGCCAACTATAAAAAATCATAGTTATTGTCATGTGATGACAAATTTCTTCCATTCATTCTAAGCTCTATCAAAACAGACGAAACGGCAAGTTGCTTGTGAGGTCCCTCGCTTTTTAAACTTCGATGGTTGACGTTAAAATTGTAATTCTTGCACATAAGAAAAGGTTTATTTTTTAATGTCAATAACCTATTATAACAGGGGTGACCAACTTGTTTAGATCCAAGATCGACTTTTCACTGACGACACCCAGTACGATCTACCAATTACTTTACTTCTTAAAATCTTAAATGAAACAGCATATTTTTTACACAATTATGTAGCATTTTTTTTAATTTATATTTTTTGAATTGCCACTGTCGACTGGTCGATTGCGATCGACCGGTTCGGCACCCATGTATTATAATATTATTTTTTTTTTGTTTTATAAATAATCATAGAAGAATTTCATATGTTACTAAAGAAGGAATAATGAATTTGTTTCGATTTCAATTAAAAAAATTGGCTTTTATAAGATATCTGGGTTTTACAACGAACATTTGCAAATCATATGAATATGAACACTTCGTTTCTAGTTACAAATGTGTAATAAGAAAGTTGCTATTTTATTATTATTTATAATTATTTGAATAAAAATATATCTACAATAACTGAGCAGATGATTTGATGTAAACAAACGAAAATTCTAATCATTCTCCTTTATAATAACATAGATTAAAAAGCTTGTCATAGATAATAATTGTTAGTTTGGTCTTCTTATGAACATTTTGGGCTTGCAAAGAATGGACCCATTAGAAGGCCATTATAGGTGTAATTTTTTTATAATTTTATTCTTAATCGCATTGGCAACCTATTTGTTAGCGATCTATTACTGAATACTATACTAAATGAAATAATTTCCATTAATATATTCTTAGTTTAACGATGGTGTTGAGGGAAATTTCGTTGAGCTTTTTGAATAAAATCATAATATGTTAAGCATTTAATGCTCCGTTTAAATGAAAGAGCTTTGTATGAAATAGTTTGATGTTATATAAATAAACGATTATTCATTTATAGCTTTTTAATAACAATTCAATGTAGTACAAATGTTTTAATAAACGTTTCTTTTGAAAGTCAATATTAAATAAATTATATTCGCAGACATAAACAAAGGGTATTTAAACCTATTTAAATGATGAATGTCTGTGTTTCCAGCTCTATGAGTTTTTTCTCAGATGTAATTAATTTATTAAAGCTTTTTTAACCATTCTCTTAATCCAAGTTTTTACATACTCTTTGCTTTAAACACTATACATGGGATTTCACCATAGATTCAAGAGTGTAAAATCTACATTATTCGGAAAAATATTTGCCGATAAATCTTATGATTACTTAATATATTGAAATAGTAAATAGTATTGTAAATTTGTTTATAACTTTTTACTGAAGAACTTATTAAGAGATAAATTAAGCACAAGGATCGCTATGAAAATGTTTTTATGCTTGATTATTGCGTCGTTAGTTTTATTGGGACTCTTCTCGACTATGGTTTACCTGATGACTGTTGTAGACCCTGACCTCACGGATCTGTTAAATGAGACTCCCAGAATGTTAAATACGGATATAGCAATGTCTAAAGTCTACAAAGACGATGATGTGAGCAGCACTTTATTGGTATGTCTTTAGGCTAAGTTTGGCTATGAGATGAGGTTAGTTTTTATATAGTTTTATGGTAGCGACGCTGAGCGATTCCACATGGAATATCTGTAACACTGTGCATTTGATTGTACATAAATACGAAAAGTAAAATAATATCAACAAGCTAGTGAATGAGATAAATTGATATAAAAAAGCAAAAATAAAGCGGCAGAACAAGTTTTGATTATACATTATGACGATTCTCTGCTACGAAAAACCAGGTGAAGCGCAAGGGCCTAATGTACCTAAACGTACCTAACTTTTCTTATAGCACTTCGTCGTTTTTTTGAACCTTTACTCCTCATAACATTTTCATGAAGATACACACGGTTACACGTCAGATTAATTTGAACTTCGAATTTCTTCAATAGATTTGAACTCTACTTTCAACGCATTCAGGTTGAAATCGAAAGGAGAATATTGACAGTTTTGTATAAACCCCGCAGTTTATACAAAACACCGCAGTGTTCGGTCTCCGCACCTCAGTCTGCAATGTAAAGGTCAATAAAATTTCAGAGGGTCTTTATCAAGAGCTCCTCGATACTTCGGAAGGCACGTTAAGTCTTTACTGGTGGGCCTCCGTGGTTGGTTATAGATTATATGTACTAGCCTATTCTCTAGGGAGAATTTTCTTCCCTCAATTCCTTCAATAAGGAAAGATATGCTGATGATGAGTATTTTGAGTTTCTTTTTTATATTATTTTCAGGCTAACGATACGTACATTTACTTTAATGATTTGTTGGCAAATATGACAAGAGATTTGTGATTATCATCACTTATATGTATGTATATGAAAATACGCAGAGAAATCAACTATAACGAAGATTTAAGGGTAGTTTTAGCTAGGTATTCCTGTAAGATGTAAATGATTTATAGTTCAGCAATATTAACAATCAAGCGATGTGCTTCCATGATGACTGTCTGTCATCATCATCATTTCAGCTATTTTCATTTTCAGGTATTTTCAATAAAGTTTTAAGTATTTAAAATTGTTTGACGTATTTATATATAAATATTAATAATACCTTTAAACGAGTAATTCCTTTAGGGTAAGCTGGGTACGGTTGTAACAATTTTTCTTTAATTGTCCACAGCACAGCTATTACAACTGGAAACAACCACCAAAGCTTTTGAAATGAAAACATATTTATTTTTCTTTAAATTAATATCAAAACCAATAGCTTAGGTAAGACAGTTTAGCAGGAATAAGCCGTTTTAAAGAGTGTGTGCGATTGTTACAATCGACCCCACACCAGGGGCGGTTGTAACACTTATGGGGGGCAGTTGTAACGCCAAAAAATAATATCTATAAATCAGTTTAACACGTTATAAATCAGTTTTATTCATAAAAAATAACAAAATGCACTAAATATAAAATAACAACATTTAAGGCGCATTTAAATAGTATTTTTAAATAATAATAATTAATCAAAATTAGTCAACAATATCTGAGGTTATACAATAGTATTTTTCTATATTAAATCAAATTCATCGCAATTATGGCATATATAGTATCTACTCGCATCAGTACAAGCTACGTGAGACCATTTTTTGCAGTCTCTTTGACACTGAATCCAACTCTCTCCAGACCGAGTAGCAGAATAGTTCTAGTACGACAAAATGTCACTTCCACCTCCTGAAGTCTTTCTGATACGTTTCCTAGGCATCCACAATACAAAATTATTATAAAATGAATGTTACAACCGTCCCAATGAAAATCGTTACAACCGTCCCCACCCTCCCATGTTGATAATAAGTCTATCAAAAGGACGAGGTAGCATAACTTATACAAAAACGAATGAGCTTATTATAATCTTTAAAACACGTCGATTACATAAGCACATTTCGAAATACAACAATTATATTAATATTTAAGCTATATCATAAAGAAATACCCCAGAAATACTTACTTTTGGTTGAAAAAACACAAGGGGCCTCCTTGTAAGCGTTATTACCGCGCGAAAGGTGACTCTACATTGGCGATCGTGTCGAGACTTGTTACCCGCGTGCCCTTCCCTTTTTGCCCCTCACCTACCATTCATAGTTTCGATGATATTCGAGTTGTTACAACCGTACCCAGGCTACCCTATTATAATTTGAATCTCGGAAACGGTTCCAACAATGTTCATGAAATTTAGTAGTTTGCTTCGCTCACTTATTTTGCTTTTCGAAAGGCTAACTAATTTTTCTCGCGGAAAATTAAAATGGTCGTATCTAATGCAGTTTCCATAATTTTTCTAGTGGCAATGGTAACTGCGCCAGAGTTCAAAACGTGAATAGTGGGTATTAAATTTTCAAAGCGCCGGCTGCCAGATGTCGGCGGTGAAAATCATCAAATGCAATCTCTGGGAGTGCTCTCCATCCCATTATACCAATTTTCAAGTTCTCAAATAATCCCTTTGACATTTACAGTTTTTGGGGTAAATCTTAAAATCTACCGCCGGGTAATCGCCGCTTAATAGAGTTGGGATAGATACGCAATCGTTTCATACATGTCAAAGAGCTCTAGGGTTGTCAAGTCGGTCAAACTCAAGGTTGAATTTCAAACAATGTTTGAAGCCGTCCGTCGCCGCCATCTTGGAGAAAATCTTACTCGAAAATGGCGATTTTTCATTGCCGCCACCACTGCCGCTATACTGTCAAGGTAATGAAAATTCCCCGTACATAAAAATTTACTATATTTCTAAGTTGCCAGTGCAAAAATCCCCCTCCGAACCGATCAATTGACGATTGCTCGAACAGAGTCCAAAAATGTCATTTTTTGAGATAAAATATCTTGGCCGTCATTTTGTTTTTTTAAAACACCTTTATCCGATCTCATTTTTTTAGTTACATCTATGATCATCAAAAAAACATGGAATGAGCGAGTCGGTGACAATTAAACTTTTTAAAGTATACATAGATACTTCCAGACAAACTTTTCGGTGCGCGTAATTTACTCGCTAAAGTGTTGTGTCCACACAACACATCAATTGTTAGACAGTCAGTTCAGTCCATGGATTAAGTAGGAAACTACCGTTTTAGTTCAGTCGATTGTATTTACTAAGAAAGAGTACGAGAGACGGTACTTGTAACGCGCGCGTACTGTGTTATAATTTTAGTTCAGCAGACCAATTCAGATATAGTGCTATTAATAAACAAGGTTTAGCGTCAGAGTAAATTTGCGCTGAGACTGCACTTAGTATTAGTCAAAATTCATATCACTAAACAGAGATTTAGTAAAGGTTAACCTAGTACGAGTTTCTATAGGTAGGAGTAATATTTACTCCTAGAGGGTAGAAAGTTTGTTTATTCTTTGTATAATATGAATTTGGACTAATACTAAAATTGCAATTTTAGCGTAAATTTACTCTGACGCTAAACCATGTTTATTAATAACATCGTACCTAGGAACTTCATCCATGACAATTTGGGCTTGAGTGAAAGTCAAAGAGAATCATATATTTAAATCTTTTTAAGAGTTTAAGCACATTTGAAAAATGTCAGACAATAACATTTTTGAGGATATTTTTGTTCTTTTTTAATGTTTTTATATAAATATATTTAAAATTGTCTTCGAAATAATATAATGGTGAATAAAAAGGCATGTGTGGTTGTTATTTGTGTCATCATACTTGTTTTGTTCGTGGTGTTTGTTTATTTGATGACAACTGTAAACCCAGATCCTATTGTTACAAACCCAAGTTCTGGGAGTAAACATCATAGTATGGATATTCAGGTGGGTACTACTTTGAATATTTTGACCTGTTTTGATCGCTCGCTTATCTGCGTCGATAAATACATATATCCATATGGATCGAGGAGCCACATCTGATTTTAAAAAGAAATTTACTCCTTTATTTAGTTTAAATCAGATAATTTGATAGGTTAAATTCTGAAATTTGTAGTTATATCAATGTAAAAGTGGCTCCTCAATCTAAACATCCGAATTTAGGAGCCATATGAAAGATGGAAAGTACTTATCACTAGCTTTCCGCCAGCGGCTTTGCCCGCGTGGTCTTGTATTATACATAAAAATCTTCCTTTTGAATAACCCTATCTATGAAAATAAACCGCATCAAAATCCGTTGCGTAGTTTTAAAGATTTAAGCATACATAGGGGTATGGGGACAGAAAAAGCGACTTTGTTTTATATTATGTAGTGATTTAGTAGCAAATGTGTAAAGCACCTGCTAAATATCTGACATAAATATGGTTGATTTAAAAGAATATATGTGTGGTTGTTATTTGTATCATTTTAATGTGATAATGTGAAAAACACTTTTAATGTGACTCCTAAATCTATACATAACAGTGAAAATTTCGGTAATACTTATAAGTAATTTATATTCCACTACAAAAAACATTTATAAGCAAGTGTGTTGAAATTTGTAGTAGAATATACAGACTAATATTAGTGTTACTTACTTATCAAAATCATTTACAGTTGAAAGATGCTTTTTCTGACGAGGTGCTGTTCCCTGCCTCTGAAGGTAGAATTAGTTACGGCTTAGAGAAAGCATCAGAGTCTGATAAACTGAGACAAGGGGTAGATGAAGCTAAAATAATACCTTTGTATCGACACCTAGCTGCTCACGGTCTTCTCGTCAATAGTTCTGATGTACAAGAAGTGGTTTCTCCTATAAAAACACCTACGGAACTGGTTCAAAGTGAAGCTGTGTTTATAAATAATATGAATATGACCCTGACGACACCGATAATTGCTTCGGTGAAAGGTTTTCGAAGATCTGTTAACTATATAACTGAAACAAATGAAAACATTAATCTGAACTCCGGTGTTATATTGCAAATTACTGACGACACAGGACATCCGAGAATAGAAATAAAATTGGAATCGAAAAGACCTCTTGATAAAAGTAAAAGATATCATAGAAGTTCAGACAACAATTTATCATTTGTCAGATTTGATTCGGATGAAGTGATTGAAAACATTATAGAAGATGGAAAAAGTACAGTTATAATCATATTACCTAACAACACATTCATTATCAATAAAACCAAAGAACAGCCATACATACAAAATTACACTAAAGAAGATAATAGTAGTATATCAACTAGTGCAATAACTAAGAACAATAGGCGGAACCTGAGTGATTTTAAAGAAATAACTAATATGATGACCAACGCAAAACATAATCATAAAATTATGAATGAAAATGCTAAAATATACAGAAATAACTCAGATATTGTGCATTTTGATATGTCGTTTCATAATGGAACCAAATCAATTCCAACATAATAATTTAAACGGTATTATATATTTCAAATACTTAGTTATAATTCCTAATGAAAAGAGACTACTTATAAATTATTCTAGAAAAATATCAACTGAAAAGAAAATTAATTAAATTATTATAAATAATATTGAAATAGACATTATCACAATCTATTTGTCACAAAATAAAGTTTATTAAGAACCTTTTTTTTAAATTTAAAAAAATCTCCATTGATATATGAAATATTTTATTATACAAACTGGTATATAATTGCTTTCATTTTCATTATTTATGAAATTTTAGTATGTATTAATAAAAAAATGTTGGGGAGGCACCTTAAGAAGAAGAATAAAAAATGATTGTTAATAAATGATTTCAAATTAAAAATAAGCAACAGTCTATATTCGACTAGTAGTTTTATGTATGTTCACGGATTACGTCGCCAATGGGACATATTAGAGCAACCATTTGTCACTAGAATGCAGCACTAGGTTAGTTTTTTAACTAAAAGAAAGTCAAACAAAAATAATGATAAGAATTAAATATATATTTTTATATATATATTTTTTTTTGAAGTAATTTTGATCCAATAATACATCGATGCTACATATTTGAATGTAATCGTTAATCTTCATAAGTTTTCAAGTATAATTTTCGATAATGTGGAATAATACATAAATAAAATCTTATTGTTCCCCGTTATAATAATACAGTACAAATTTTTTATACATTAGCCATATATATATATAACTAATAAAGGACTATATATATGTCACGTATGTTTTAACATATAATGTAATAGCGTATATATAGCTATGTGCTCATGCTGCCATCCTTACTGGGCTTTATATTATTTATTTTAGATTGATTTGCAGAAAATCAGAAGACTAGTTTTAATTATTAAAAAAAAAGATGAAACAATTCTTCTAAATAACAAATCACTTGCAAAGTTTACATAAGTATTTGTTATATTTCTGTCTTCTTTCCTCGAAAAAAATCTAAATAGCATTTTTTCTTTCCTACAGCTTTTTGATCAGATTCATGATGTATAATTTTTAGATATCTCAATAAATGTTTTAAAATAACTGTAAATTACAGTTATGTAAATAAACTGTAGATTACAGTTATGCAAATAAACTGTAGATTACAGTTCTTTTAAAAGTTACGGGAAAGAAAAAGTGCTATTTAGATTTTTCGACGATTTTTTTCGAAACATCAGAGGATTTTATTTATATACTGTTTTCCTTCGCTTGCGTGAATGATAGCCTATGTCACCCGCGTAGTATTAACGGCCGGTTTCTGAATAAGGAAAAGTACAAAATCTCAACTAAAATTCTCAATAACTCGACTTTTTACTATTCACAAGGCAATAAGTTCTAGTTTTTATCAAACCACTATCAACCCATCATTATAATAACTAAAATCGTAAACAAAATCTTTTTATGTGATGTTTAAGTACAGTTTGATACGTTCTTCACTTTAATTAATCAATTCAGAAACCGAGTAATAGTTTCCCGTAGGATGTAAGAATTTTACTAATCTTATCAGTATTTCCGATAATTAACCGCAACAAACAAACGAAGTTACATAGAAACTTTACCTCTTACAATACTTATATATATATTAGTACAGATAAGTCTGTTTATTATGATAGAAAACCTAAAATACAACAATGTTAATATCACAAAGTTCCTTAAGATCTCAATCAACAGAATATCGTTACTTGACATAAAGGTTCTATTATAAAATATCAAACATATACGATCATTCGGTGAAAGGAAATGCCAACTTTGTGATGAAATATCTATCCGCCAGTTACCTACACGCCGATGGAAGTGTCGCTTACTATAAACTCAGCGCATAAGCAAAAAATAATAAACCGCCTTGTAATGATTTTGAATATTTTCATTTTGACATCAAAAAGTTAGCGAGCAAGCAATTTTGGAACAAATAGGGGAAAAAAAGCAACGATTTAGGTTGTAAATTATTTCATTATATGTAGGTATGTTCTTTCAGTAAACTACGAGTATAAACTTTATATCCATAAACTATAAAGTTATATTATAATATTGATCACAAAAAAATAAAAGAAAAATCAAACTACCTCGTGTGTTCATTAGTTTTGAGTCGAAATAAAAGTTGCGTAACTTTTTAAATAATAAACTTAGATATCTTAAATTGTCAGTAACCATTAAATAGATTATAATCAATAATAAAATATATATTTTATTCAAAATGACCGCCCTTGTTTTTAATACAGGCCCTTAGACGATTTGGCCAGTCATCAATGCAAGCTAAATATTTAAACATTAATAATTATTGCGGGAAATACATAGCAAACGAGTAAAGCCTATACATAGTGGTCAAGAAATAAGGTTACTAAAGTTGGCTTTCTATAGTCTGAAGATATCATAATGGCATGTTCCACAAAAAATAATTTTGCCATGTATCCATTGTTTTTGGATTCTCATTTTTCCTGAATAAGTTTAAGTCTTTTTGGTCCAATAACAATCAATTTAATTAACCATTGAAGGTCATATTATTTAAAGTGTCCAATAAAAGATCAAGCGTTTTAACAGATATTTCATTTCACTATTTTGGCAAACACTTCAGTAACGACGAACGGACGACAAAGAATGATGTTTATGAATTTGATAGCAACACCAACTTAGTCGTTTATTTCAAAATTTATCCACAAACCGACATGTGAAGGTAGTAACATGAATCGAAATATCATTATCGAATAGCTGAGATATCTTATTATATGGCTAGAATTATAAGGCTAGAGAGTTTATTTATTAATTTATTTTTATTGCATTGCACATATTAGACCCGGTCGGGCACAGCAAATTTGGAGAGAGGGGAAGACGCTGTGCTTTAGTATGTAGGTAATAAGTATTTTCTTTCTTTTATAAACTATTAGGTTAGGTGGTTGTTCTGGAATCTAAGAGCTAGCAGTGAAATCAACTAAGCGCTTGAGCTTTTAATTTAAACATAAACACCAAAAAAGTCTGACAGAAAAACGCACGGGTAGAATAGGAAGGAATTACTTATTACTTTAGATATTTTTTCAAAGACTGAACGAGCGAGCGTATGTAATCTTAATTAGTTGCAGCAATCGATTACTTTTATTATTTATTGAAATTATTTTCATTATTTGTTTTTGTTCTTGCGATTCGACCGTTGCTGTTGTTTTTATTATCAATGAGCTATCTTGGTGACTGATGACTATAAAGTACTAGCAAAATATTATAGCCTAAATATTCATGTACCTGATTCTATTAAAATGTAATAATTTTTGTATGATACGAGTAGATTATATTTAAAGCAGAAACCAATTTTAATGAATTGCTCTGCTAGGTTAATTCGAAATTTCAATATAGCTATCAAGATTAAGAAGTCTTTGCAATGATACCCCTTTTAATTTGTTTAAAATATATAATTCCCATTATTAGGTAGGTACAGTAAAAAACGCGCTAATTATAATTTTTTTGGTCGGGGCTGTTTTAAACACTTGTGATTGTCAAAAGCTATGTCATCGGTTCACAAATCTACAGCGGGAAACCTTGTACCAAGAAGAGTCGCCAAGAAACGCTGCAAGGGATTCTCCCAGTTTTATTTCATATAGATAAGTCGAATTAAATTGACTTCATTAGACTATGACGTCACTTATCCATAAAGATGATAATTAGGTGTTTATGTACGGGTGCATACTAAATAGATAAAAACGTCTTACGAAGTACCAGGGTAGCATAGCTGCCAGACAAGTTGTCGAGAGTGGGCGCTGGTAGTTGTGCAGCCGCGTGATTTTACCAGAATTTGGGTGTAGTGAGTGAAGGAACGGCGCGACGGCGGCGCAGGGGCAGTCTGTTCCCACGTGCGCGCCCGCCTGCCTTGAACGACCTTGCCGGTCGCTAGCATTCGTATGGCGCACACGACTAAACTTGATGCGGTTTTTTAATAGTACATTACGATATTAGTGCGTTATGATGCTCGGCTCAATTACGCCCTCGCCTTCGGCTCGGGCTGAAATTCCGCCTCGCATGTTATATCCAATACGCACGTATATCGTACGACGTTTTTTAACACATTTGCGAGGAAACAGAAAAAAAAAACATTAAATAAACTTCAATCTGTGAATGTACACTGTTGCTTTCCCGCCATTTTAACAGCGCGCTAGCGCTGCCTACTGACTGGCGCCGCGCGGCGATTAGTTCGAAATTTGAATAGCAACAGCGCGCGAAATGGCAAATAATACTGTTCTGGAATTTGTACGGACTATAACTTAACTATTTGCTTTGGTAACACACGCGTTTTTTATGACCCGCTTTACATATTTAAAACCGGTGGAATTACATCAGCTTTACGAGCAAAGGTGTTAAAAAGCACATTTCACTTCACTTCTAAATAATCGTTTCTTACAGATTTTTACCAATAAAAAACTTTTGATTGCGAAAGGTCATGGGTTCGAGTCCCATTTCAGAGTGAAAGAGACAAAGTGGACTTTTTAAGCATTTTTCATTAAGATTTTTTTTCTGTATAGCACTATGAATGCAAAATTTATGAAAAATATATATAATTAGAACAAATTTTCATCTTTATCCAAAGTTTAAATGTTTGTAAAAATAAGTACTTATTTCTTTCAGCTATTTGGGTGGATTGTATTGATGAAAATACGCTCTGTAGTAGCGAAAGAAATAACAAGGGCTGAAAAAAATCGTTAGTCCTGTTTTGTCCTGGGTAGCTCAGTGGTTAGAGCAAGCAGTTTCCCGCAAATAACTTATCTTGGATTTTATTGAATGGTACACAATAAAGAACGTTTGGTTATCTTACATAACTGTGATCAAAATTTACATTATTTCATAAACATTTATTTTCTTAATGAAAAATCTAACAAACCTGTGGCTGGTGATTTTTAAAGCATTTTTCATTAAGATTTTCCAGTATAGCAGTGCGAATGCAAAATTCATCAAATATAAGATTTCATTAATATTATCATTTTATAAATCATATAAAAGTTTTATGTTAATACCGCGTTGCCACCGCGTACAAATTGTCAACGAACATCAAAAGTACCTACATTTAATAACAAACTTTGTTATTTATTATATTTATAAATAACAATCGAGTCCGAAGTTCATGGCTTCGAGTAGTTCTGAAAGGTACAAGGATAAGGTTTGTAAATTGGTTTGCAAAATGCAAAAAATAATATTTTGTTTTCTTTTATGAGTTATTTTATTCTAAAAACATTACCAGTACGACTTCGATAGAATTAAAATGGCTTGCGAATATAGAATTTTGAAAATCGGTCTACAATTAGCAGATAACATATATTAAAAACAGTACCTGACGAACATAAAACCTACTCCTAAAATGGCGACTAATCTCATCACAATTTAGCGTACAAATATTAATAGAAGTGGAAAATACCGCGACCCCGTTTCTTTGTTTCAATTCTTATTTCGTCTCACTCACACCAAAATGCAACTTGCTATTTTATAAGTCGACCAAGTGCGTAACTATAAAACCCTTTTTTTGTATCTAACACAAGTACGAATGGTCTATAAATATTATAGACTACTTAATATGATATAACCAGTATTAAATTGTGAAGGCTATTTTAAAATTCCTTTCTAATGAAACCTGTAAAAAATACTTATCGAATTGCAACGATATTAAAAATCTAAGTTAGATAGGGACCAGTAAGACAAATAGATTTTGTCTTATATTGAATTTCAGCTTGAAAGATTTAAATTAATGTCGATTTATGATTATATTCAATTTTTATTATTTACTGTTAGTTAGATATAAATCTTTTTTAAATGTTCGATAAAGACTAAAAACGATTTTATAAAAAAGAAATATGGTTTATGATGAATCGGAAATTTCTTGAAGTTACAATTTCTTGAATATAATGTCACAAAAACGATATTAGTTTATAAGTAACGGTAATGATTTTTATGTAAACTTTTTCATGCATGGAGAAGGTTCTCTTTGAAACGCCGTAGTATGTTATTATGCAAATAGCAGGTATTGCACATAGAAATACCTAATGCAATCCAAGTGATTACTACAAGTCTATTAAAATGTTACTAGTGTTTTAGTTAAATAGAGCCTGTATATCTCATTTATTTTTACTCAATAGGTTGATGTTTATGAAACACAATTAGTATGATACATACCTTCATTAGTATTTTCTGTAGTCTCAACTATTTGGTCTAAACAGTCCGAAGGATT